CAACAACAAACATCAACAACAAAGCAGAACAACACTCCATCTCTAACAACATCACCAACAATAACAACACCAACAACAACATCAACATCAACAACACTCCACAAAACAACAACAAAACAGAACAACACTCCATCACACATTATAGTTACCTTCACAAGGCTTGTCCCAACATTGGCGGAGAATGTCCCACGTAATTAACACCAACATCCTTGTTTAAAAATTTTACGAAACTTTTTTTTTTCTTCGATTAACGAAAACGTCGAAAGCTTCAACTATAAGTTCCTCTTTAGCATTCATTACATTCTAAAATAAAATTTTTGCCAAGTTTGTCGTCATAATAAATAATTATAATTATAAATGTTAATGATATTTGTTATTATTATTATTTTATTTTTCATAATTATATTTTAAATGATAACAAAAATTGAAAAAATTAATAAATTATGATGAAATGAGACCAGAAATCGAAACTGTTTTCCGTTAAACCATCCCAAAAATAACATTTAATTATTTATGTTGAACAAATCCACCAAAAATTATTATTATTTTTATTTTTATTGTCATTACTATTTAAAATAAAACAAAACGAAAGAAATATTTTTATTTTCTAAAACACTTGGTTACTAACCAGCACCAATATATCAATAATAATAATAAAATAAAAATAATAATGATAACAGCAACAATAATAAAATTAACAACTGTAACAAAGATAACACAACGACAACAACAGCATAAAAATTGTTCTGAAATCGCTAACAGTTAAACGCAATAAATAAAAATAATAAAAACAAAAACAATAAAAATAATAATAATGACAGGAGCGAATAATGAAGCGAAATTATGGAGAAGTTACTTGCTGGAGAGATCGGCACGTGCATTTATATTGGAAGGGAGAGAGAGATGCTGATGAGGATGGAGAGAGAGAGATGCTGATGAGGATGGAGAGAGAGAGATGCTGATGAGGATGGAGAGAGAGAGAGATGCTGATGAGGATGGAGAGGAAGATGATGAGGATGGAGACGGAGATGATGATGGAGATGATAATGATGATGAGGGTGGAGGGTGGAGAGGGTTTTGTGAGTCCTTTTTTTAATCCATTTTATTCACATTTTATTCTTCTCGTCTACATTAGTCAGTGTTAAAATTTTTGATTATTTTTTAAACGTTGCATTCAGTCGTATATTGTTTGTTTGCTGGAAATAAATTTCAACCTCATATAACATAACAGGAAATATGAATGGAGCGGACACAAGTTCCTACACCCGCCTCCACAAAAACAACTCAGTGCATTGAATCAAAATTAAACCGGATATGTCAAATAAATAAAATTAGTTGAAAAAAAGAAATTAAAATAAGGATAATTAATGAGAATCTCGTTAATCTAAGACAATGTAGTATGTATATATTAGTTGTATCTTCCCTACTTGTATCTGCGCGTTCCAAATTTATTGACTCCAAACTGGCGCTATAAAGAATCACATGGAAGAGAAACACAAACCTAAAATTAATAGGCAAATTTTGGACCATAATGTTGAAATCTTACATTACAATAACAACCATTACAATTTACGACTAGCCGAATCAACACTCATAGAACAAAGACATCCGATAATAAATATTCAACAACGGGCAATTGGATAGTAATAATTAACTAGTTAGATAGATAGAAGATGATGAATAAATGGATGGATGAATGGATGGGTGGATGGATGGGATGAATGGATATATAGATTTTTTTTCAATGAATTGAGTCATATCTTTCAAGTCGTACACAACAGGTTCTGTTCAGATCCAACTTGAAACTTGTTGAAACTGAGTCATACGGTGTTCCACAGGGGTCGGTTCTCGATGCAGATTTTTTTATTATCATTGACAGATGTTTGTCCAAATATCACGGTTTTGCTGATGATATTCAAATCATTGCTTGTGCCCTCTTTTGTTGTTTTGATGATCTTGTCTGTAGACTCAGATCATGTCTCTCGGAAATTATTGAGTGGATGATGGCAAACAGGCTTAAATTGTTTGTTTGTTCTAATTTAACGGCTTTGAAGCTCCCATAAAGGTGCTATGATGTGCATTATCAAGATTAGCTTATTGGGTATATTTTAAAATTATTGTCAGTTAATCAATACTCGCTATTATTTTCAATCATTTATCAGTTTGTTAGTCCATTAATTTAGTTTCAAGTTTGATTATCTTTAAGTATGTCTAGAGCCATTACCACCGACAGGGAAAATCTCGACCAAGCCCGTCTAAGCACTGGCGCAAGGCCAATTCCAAATATATGTAAAACCCTTACCAGGCTAATCGTATCGTTTAAAAAGTCCACAGACCGACACCATCCGTACCGACGCAGTGCAAAAGGACCGTCCAAGCCCACCATCCGACTCCCGCCCTACGCATATATAGGGAACCGTAATTATTGCTGTTTTTTTTTACTATGGGGTTCACCAACCATGAATACTTGGCACGCCTGAGAATTTTTTATTTTAAAAGATAGTTTTCCCATTTGGCGACCGGGCCTTCAACATGCAGTTCGCCATTAACAGACTCCCTACACGCCTACACGTCTTTGGCGACCTAGGAGGCTCCATTGTGGGATTTGCCCACAATAGCCGCTCCATACGTCTCTGAGGATTTTTTTTATTGTGACTACCATTTATTTTCTCTTAGGCGACTGAGCCTCCACCATGGGGTTCAACCACAATAGACGCTCGACACGCTTGAAGATTCTTCATTTTGATAACCACTCTTCCCCTTTGGCTACCGAGCCTCTACCATGGGATTAGCCTACGATATACGAACCTCAGAGGGTCCTTTTTATTATGACCTCTATTTATTTCCTCCTTGGTAACCAAGCCTCCATCAAATGGTTCACCCACGTCAGACGCCCGGTACGCCTTTGTTGTTAATTTAACTTATTTTCTCTTTGGCGGCCAAGTCCCAGAGTTGGGTTCACCCACAGTAGACGATTGATGCTTATAGGTTTTGACTAATCAGTTCTCATGTTAGACGCGCAGGGCGCAAACCGTCTATCAGTGAAACCAAACAACGCCGTTTTACCATCCCTCACACTCCCGCCAACCTGAACAATGTTGATCTATAAAATGTCATATTTATTAGTTATATACTTCTGATTTTTTGCATTAATGCAACGACGAAGCCCGTCCGGACTATCTCCTCTAAATGGTGTGACTCCAACACCTTACTTAAAAATTAAATTGAACCAGTCAAAAACTCAGTTTCTACCCGTCGGCAATAGGCGGTAATTGGAAAAAATGAACATTGAGTCTATCAGACTTGGTGATTCTGACATTGAATTTTGCACATCTGCATGCAACCTGTGATTTGTTTTTATAATAACATGTCTTATAACGTTCATACTAGGGCAGTTTCGAAAGAATGCTCTGGAAAATTGCGTAAGCTTAAGCTCATCAAACGATCTTCAAACAAGCATACACTTCAATGTCTTGTTCATTCCTTTATCTACTCAAAAATAGACTATTGGAAAAGTGTATTACGCCCTATCTGGTGTAAATATAGCTAAACTGCAGTCGATTCAAAATTGGGCTGCTAGGTTGGTTCCAGGCGACCTTAAATACGATCACGTTAAGACAATTCTTTTTTTCTCTTCACTGGCTTCCGGTTTATCAAAGAGTTATTTTCAAAATATGTTTAACGGTTTTTAAATGTATTAAGGAAATCACCTTTAAATATTTAACTGACAGAGCCATTCCTAGAACAATTCAGGTTTACTGTTTGTACCTGACACAAACTTGGCTTTTGGTCGAAGGAATTTTTCCATTGTCTGGTCCTGATGTGTGGATGGTTTGCCTATGGACCTTCGTAATTTTGCGTTGTCTGTTATTCAAGTTTTAAGCACCATCTTTTTGTCCAAGCTTACCCGTGCTAATGTCTTTCTATCCCCATTCGCTGCATTGCTTTAAAAAAGTGCTACGCAATGTACTGCAATTATCCTTATCGCCTCTGAAATCTTTTTAAAGAGTGCTTATAAGCACACCAATAACATAATAATAATAGCAATAATAATAATAATAATAACAATAGTAATAATAATAACAACAACAATAATGATAAAAGATAAATTAAATACTACTACTGCTACAACTACTACTACTATTACTACTGCTACTACTACTACTTCTACTACTACTACTAATGCTACTATTACTCTACCACTACTAATAATATTAATAATAGTAATAAGTAATTGACTAATCAGAAACTAATAAATACAACTAATAAGAACAAAAAATACAAAGTTTGAAATTGAAATGGCCTAAATGTAACGAAAAAAATCATAATACACACACAAAAACGTAAAACTGCCTCATTATAAAAATATAAAAGCGATCCGTCAAATGTTTTACTCGTCACTTACTAGCTCGTTAAACTTCGATAAAAAAATGTTTTAATAAATAAATTAATAATAATATAATAATAATAATTACTAATAATAGTAATTAATAATAACAGCGGTTATAAAACAAGACGGAAATAAAACTAGAAGAATGTGCGATGCAAAAATGTTCTTGTGAAAACCATGCAATGAACACCCCAGCCTGTTCGTGTTCGCTCATTGTTTTATTTATTTGAGGATCCCATAATGTCGTTCTCTTGTTTGTTGTTTGTTTGTTGTTCGTTCGCTGGTTGGTTGTTTGTTTTCCTTGTTTGCTGCTTGTTTGTTGTTTGTTTGTTGTTCGTTTGTTTTCTAATTGCTGGTTGTTTAATGTTTTTGTTTCTTCGTTGGTGGGTTTGTTCGTTCGTTTGTTTGTTTGTTTATTGTTGTTGATGTTCGTTTGCTTATTTATTTGTATGTTGTTTGTTTTTTGTTTGTTCGTTGGTTGGAGGTTTGTTTTGTTGGTTTGTTTGTTTTGTTGGTTTGTTTGTTTGTCAGTTAGTTTGTTGCTGATGTTTGTTTAATTGTTTAATTGTTTGTTTGTTGTTTGTGTTTTTATTTTTATCTTTTATATGGCATGGCATGGCTGACCCATTTGTTGAGTATTGTTTGTTGCAATGAATTGTTTAACGTGCGATTGTTTTAGTAGAAAGATAAGTCGGGTTAAGCAGTGTGATATGAATGGACACATACACGAATAGTGCACGTTTGATTGAGTGAATGAATCAAAAAAAATAAACATAGGATCTAAAATTAAAATCAATTAATAAATTTATGATTGAGGGAATGAAGTGAAAACAAGCGAGCGTTCAATGATGTTGATGGATGAACAAATGAACAAAATGAATAAAAAATGATCTTGATGGACAAACAAACAAAAGAACGAACAAAAAACAAACAAAAAAGAAACATTTATTGATATCTGATAAATTTTTGTTTTGTTCAAACAATAATGAACAAGATATTATGTAGACCCATAAGTGAATAGACGAAAAAATGGATAAATGAAAATACAAACAAATGAATAAATTAATGGGTGAGTGAGTGCGTGAGTGAGTCGGTGAGTGAGTGAGTGAAGGAATGGTTGAATGAATGAATAATTGAATGAATGGTTTAATGAATGAATGATTAAATGAATGAATGAATGAACAAACGAACGAACGAACGAATGAATGGATGGATGAATGAATAAATGAATGAATGAATGAAAAAACAGATAAATGATTAAATGAATGAATTAATTAATTAACAAACAAAAGAGCAAATACATACATACATACCAGGTCAACCAGGGCAATCTGGTCAACAAGCGTCTAAGCGAATATTCAACTATTGGTCTTGAAACCCTGGTACTGTGCTTTGATGGGTTCAATAACGCCAAATCACAAAAGCACAACCCCGATCGATGGATCAACGCTGTGTCATCTTGTATTGAACAGGGAAACCTGTCCTCGGCGGTCAGACTTGTCTGCTCGCCGGAGGGCCTGGCGGAGAGCTCGCCGGCCACCTTCGATAAATTATGTTCTATCCACCCAAAAATTCCGGTGGACAGGCGGGTCTTTCCCGCATTGACACCAACGGCTGGTTGCGTTTCTCCCGCCGAGGTGCTGAGGGCCGTTAAATCTTTCAAAAATGGTTCTTCTGGAGGCCTGGATGGCCTACGACCCCAGCACCTTAAGGATGTTTTTTTAGGCCCCTTGCCAATTGACGACACACTGAACTCCTTAACCCAATTCATTAATTTGATCCTATCTGGAGCTTGCCCACTCTCCGTCCGCCGGTTCTTTTTTGGAGGCCGGTTAAAAGCTTTAAATAAGAAAGACGGAGGGGTCAGACCGATTGCGGTCGGGAACGTTTGGAGGAGGTTGGCCGGCAAATGTGCTTTGGCCCTGGTCGTGGTCGAACTCAAGACCAAGTTCTACCCGACTCAGTTGGGTGTCGGGATTAAGGGTGGCGCTGAGGCCGCTGTTCATGCGGTTCGAAGATTGGTCACCGACCTCCCCGATCAATGGGGGTTTCTGAAACTGGACTTTAAAAATGCCTTCAATGCCTTGAGAAGAGACTCGATGTTGGAGGCTGTCAAACTTTTTTGCCCCAACATCTACAATTTTTGCCATTCTGCTTATGGCGGAGTCTCTTCCCTTGGCTACCACTCTTGGGTTGTAGAATCGTCCGAGGGGGTACAGCAGGGTGATCTCCTTGGTCCTTTGTTGTTCGCACTAACTCTTCATCCACTCTTAGAGAAAGCTTCGTCCACCTTCGTTTGCGCTTATCTGGATGATATCAGCATAGCTTCGGACGGTCCAACTCTGGCCGATAGCTACGAATATTTGAAGCATAACTCCGCTGCAATTGGCTTAGAGTTAAACATTAAAAAATGCGAACTTCACTGCCAAAGTTTATTTCAGGTGCCACATGCGCTGGCTGAAATACCCAGAGTTGGTGCATCAGAACTGAGTTTTTTAGGCACACCCTTGGTCGAGGGCGATTATCAAATAAAGTTTTTTGACCAAAAGCTCTCTGAGCTTGAATTCGCCCTGGGTCGTGTTTCCTGTCTTTCGGCCCATGATGCCTTGACTATTATCCGCAATGCCCTCAGTTTGCCCAAATTGATGTACTTCCTGCGTACATCTAAACACATTGACCCTTCTAAATTGGGCGAATTTGACGGAGCCCTGCGCACCGCCCTGTCGTCGATTTGCAATGTTCAAGTGACCGACAGTGGTTGGTCCCAGGCTCAGCTGCCGGTGCGATTTGGTGGGCTGGGGTTGCTTAGCGTGGTTCAGCTGGCTCCCGTTGTTTATAATTCTTATGCCGCTGCCACTCTCGACCTACAGTCTTCCCTGCTCCACCGGTTTTTTCGTTGCCGCGATATTCTTCCCCCAGCGTCCGCCCCGGGGGACCGTACGCACGTCCAAATTTTGAACAAAGAATATAAAAAAATCTTTCAAAATTTGTTGTCTTCATGCGGCGACGACTTTTCCACCGCTCGTTTGTTGGCCATGTCCAGCGTTGCCAGCTGTGGGTGGTTGAGATCGTGGCCTAACACCTCTGTGGGCACCAGGCTTGACGAGTCTGTAAGATTTGCCATTGGCTTCAGACTTGGCCTGGTCATTCAGAATAAATACACGTGCCGATGTGGCGCTGAGGCGGACGAGTTTGGGCACCACGGTTTGGTTTGTCGCCTGGGTGGGGGCCGTCAACTACGTCACTCAGCGCTAAACGATTACATTTGTCGGCTCTTCTCCAAGGCTTCAATCCCGGTTCTCAAGGAACCATCCGGCATTTCTGCGCATGATGGTAGGCGACCGGACGGATGCACGCTAATACCTTGGAGAGCCGGCAGATGTTTGGCGTGGGATGTTACGGTCCCTGGCACCCTCGCCGAACGATACGTAAACCTGACAAGTAAAGAATGCGGTTTGGCCGCGGCCAGGGCAGCGGACGAGAAAATGAAAAAATATGGGAATGCCCTCCCCTCGATGGAATTCTTGCCAATATGCATCGAGGTTCTCGGCCCGATGGACCCCAACACCCTTAAATTTCTTAAGGAAATAGGCAAAATGATCAGTGTCAGATCAGGTGACAGCAGGGAACTGTTTTTTGCAACCAACCACATTTCGTGCTTGTTGCAGCGGTTCCTGCGTGTCTGTGTGCTTGAAAATATCCAACTGAATGCCGACATGTGCAATTAACGACAAATCAAAGTGTTAATCCATTTGTTACTTGATGTTTGACGGTTCAGTGTCACTCATCATGTTTTGGTTTTAACATACATACACACATACACACACGCACACACACACATACATACACACACACACACACACATACATACATACCTTCCACCACACATTTCATTGAAGAAACTAATATAATTTCAATTAATTGAGCTCATTAATTAATTAATTAATTAACGCTTGACGATTGGGTACAAATAGCTTTGAAATTATTAAAAAAACAAACAAACAAACAAATAAATAAATAAAAATAATTCAACTGGGAGAGAACGAAAAAACTAAAACGTCAGACAGTGCCGTGTTCGTGATTCTTTATTCTTTGCTCTCCCATAACAATTAAAATAACTTTGCTTGCCTATATCAAGAGCGCCAATTATTTTGTATATATATATATATATATGTGTGTGTGTGTGTGTTGTGTGTGTGTGCGTGTGTTGTGTATGTGCGTGCATATATGAATATGCATGAAGTTGCTTAAATAATTGTCAATATATATGTTAAAATGATATTAAATATAAGAACGCTATAGCTCGGCAAACCATTTCGAAGATGGAAGACTTTCGAAGTTGTGCGACAATGTTGTGTGTGGATACTTATGACTATTAATTAATTAATTAATTAATTAAAACGTTTATTGAATAAAATATATCATATATTTTTTAATATTTGTTGTTGCGCAGATTTCGAGCACCGTTGGATAGAATGCCTTGATGAGGAACAAGACTCGCGAGTCCACAATCATCAAATACTGTTTTCTAGACAATTCTTCATTCATTTAATTTCTTTCGACAATTTAAACAATTTAATCAACTTTTGTTTTACTTACATATAAATATTATACATATATGCGTCGTATGTGTGTTTGTATGTGTGTGTAACTTTTATATTTACTTACATTTGTACAATAGTTAACTTTTATATTTCCAGATTTTGAAGGGTTGTTTTCATATTTTTTTTCGTTAGGGTTTCTTCAGTTTTTTATCGGCCTCAACAGTTAGCGTGGATCGGTTTTAAAATTATTAAAAAAAATTTCTTATCAAACTTACAACAACATCAACAGCAACAAAACTTACAACAAAACAGCACAAAGAAATCGTCATGGCGAACCACCGGGTTGTAGTGAGGACGATGTGGTACCGCAGAAAGCGACTGCACACACGTTTCATGACATTCGTTTTTTTTTGTTTCTGTCTCGGATTCAGCGGACCTGTCGTCATGATTCTGTCCGTGCAGAGAAGTTTGTTTGTTTGATCGTTCGTTCGTTTGTACGATCTCTTTGTTTTGTATGCTTTGTTTTTTTTTGTTTGTTTATTTTGTTTGTTTGTTTTTGTTGATTTGTTTTAACAAAGAAAGCAATTTTTATTCGTTTTTTTTCCATTCATTAATTTGTTGTCTTAATTTGTTTGCTGATTTATGTTAAATGACATTGTTGAGCAGTCCACAGTCGCATAATTTATTCTTTATTCTGACGATACGACTTTTTATCGATTCTTTTTTATCAGTCTGACTATAATATAGCAAAGTTTTCCAATGTAATAAATAATAAATTGTCAATAATATATATTTGGTACTGATCCACCAAATTTAGTTACCTACCATTAGTTTTCTAATGTAATAAATAATAAATTGTCTAAAATATAAATTTGGTATTTATCTAATAAATTAATTTTAAATTCCCCTACTCTTTTTTTAAACTTCTTTTTTATAAATTGATCAATATCGTACAATGAAAAGGATGGATGATGAACGATGCAATGATGAATGTTTAACCGGACTTGATAAAATGAAATTTGATATTTTTGTAACCGTCTTAGATGATGTAATAAATCAAATAAACAGTAGACTTGAACAACAAAATTTAACATTCATGAAAAAACTTTTACTTTTTGTTCATATTACACTATTAAGTAGTTACAATATAAAGGCTAGTAAAACTCAGATGATATATGACCAGTGTGGCGTTGATTCAGATAAAGTTGCATCTAAGCTAAATGATTTCAAAAAATCTTACCAATTGCTGGAAGAAAGGTCAGAAAAATCATCTAAAAGTATTAAAAATTTATACAAATTATAAAAATTTGAAAATCAGAATCAACATCAGCTACAGCAGCAACTTCGCAACAAACTCTTAAGGCACCACCGCTGGCACTAAGCACTAAAAGCCATCATAGTGGTCAACTTCAACAACAACAGCTTCACTCACTACAAAATGGCCCAAAATCCTTGTCGTCAATTGTACATAATCTACAGAAGACACTCAACAAACTAATCAAAATCATGGCTCAAACAACAAACCTCAACAAATTGCCGACAAAAGCCGTTGAGCTAAAAAAAACTAGCCGTCAACATCATCTTTTCCACTTAATAAATGTAAACATTTTGACGATGTAAAAAAAGTGTTTGAAGATTACCTACATCAGTGAATTTAATAATATTTTTGACGTCATTGCCATTTAAAATTTAATAGATTATGAATTTGTAGTAAAAAACCGCTCGCTCAGTAAAGGAGGGGGCGTCGGTCTCTACATGAAAAAATCAATGAATTTTAAATTGCGCGACGATGTACTAACAAGTTTAGTCGACGCAAATGGTTCGGAATATTTATGCATCGAATTATCACTGGACTCAGCCATAAGAAATATTTTATTGCTTATTATCTACCGGTCACCAACTAGCAATGTAAAATGTTTCTAAACAATTTAAACCAATCTTTTCAAACATTAAATTAAGAAAATAAATCTATCTTTATCATCGGCGACATAAACATTGATTGTTTACATTAATATTCTACAGCTACAAGTCAAGAGCTATCTAACATTTTAACCTCCAACAATGTTTTCAACTTCTCTTGATCCCAACTTGTATTTTTTGCAACAAGTCTTCTTTGTTGGATTTTTTAATAACAAACCAGCCAGATGAAATAAGTTGTTGTGGTACAATGCATGTCCCACTATTTGGCAACATTTATACAGCATAACAACCCAGCAAAATCAAAGAATACATCCGGTCTGGCGGATATTAAAATCTCGTATTCAACAAGTAGATTTAAAAATCTCAATAGTTATTTATTTTATTGTAATGATACAAATCATGCCTGGTTTCAATCAAGTTTTTAGAACCTGCTGTCATATACACAGTAAAAAAAATAGCATCTTTGAACAAACAACAACCATGGATGACCTCAGCTCTTAAGACTTCTTCGAAAACCAAGAAACGCTTAAATGTAAAATATCTGCAAAAACCGACTTCTACAAACTTTGAAGCTTTCAAAAAGTATAGAAATTTTTTCAACAGATTGAAACTAATTTTTAAAAAAACTTATTATTATGATAACTTTTTGAAATCAGAAAACAACAGCCAAGAAACATGGAAAACTTTAAATGATTTGACTAAGAAACCTAACAAAAATCAGATTAAAAACGCACGTTTGACAGTAAATGACTTCGAAATAGACGATCCTAAATTAACTGCTGAACGTCTAAATGAACATTTCGTGTCGGTTGCCACCTTTAACAATTAGAATCTTCCAACTCATAGGCAATGGTACGAGTATATGACTGCTAACGTCTGCAACTCTACGTTAACGTCGCTTTTGAAGATGTAATTTCAGCAATGTCACATCTTCAATCTATTCATGAACATCGGTATTTTTCAAGATCAATTCAAAATTTTAAAAATAATTCCAATTCAAAAATTGAGATATAATTTTATTGTGGAGAATTTCAGACCAATATCATTGCTTTCAGGTTTTCAAAGATTTTGGAAAGGCTGATTAAACGAAAATGGTAAATTTTTTTCAAAATTCGACATCTAAATTAAAAATTAATTTGGATTCAGGAAAGAATATTCTACCGAGCTTGCGATAATTGAACTGATAAAAGGCATCGGAGAAGCAGCAGAAAAAAATAATTACACCGTAGGAGTTTTTCAAAATTTATCAAAAGCGTTTCATACTATTAATCACAGCATTCTTCTTCAAAAATTATGTGAATACGGGTTTTGTGGTACAATACTTAAGTAGTTCGAAAGCTACCTATTAAATCGACATCAATATGTTGAGATCAATGGAACCACCTCATCCTGTCACCCAGTGACTGGAGGTCCCGCAAGGTAGTATTCTGAGCCCTCTACTTTTTCTGTTATACGACCTCAGTAACTCGTCAATGTGTTTTGACTTCGTACTGTATGCAGACGACTCAAATATTTTCCGGAGCGGACACAGAATTGAGTCTCTCATCGAAGACGTCGACAACGAACTTAAAAATGTTTTAAATTGGTTTTTAGCCAATAAACTACAATAAACAAAACTCAAACTCAGTTGATAGTATTCTGTCTTGTCCAATACCTAAACTATAGAGAGCCGTTCAAAATTACAATTGACACGTAATTATAAATGAAACTAAAGTTTGCAAATTTCTAAGAATGTACCTAGATCATAAATTAACATTTGTACCTCAAATAAAAAATGTTGCTTCAATGTTTGCCAAAGGTCTAGTCTTTATAAAGAAATACTAATTACAAATTAAAAACTGCCGTATATAAAGTATTGGAATTTAGTTTGAGCTACAACTTATAAATCCAACACTAAAGCAATTTCTCAACTCATGAAAAAGACAGTGAAAATGCTCTAAGACAGCTACCTTCACTCAATAAACTCTAGAAATGTTTCATCACGATTAAATCTCGTTTTCTCTTTCACCCAAAACATGCTTACCTTACAGGTATTGTCGTCTTCGAACAGCTAAATGGCCTTCTTTCGCATGCATTCCTTGGTTACTTCAAATACAAAAAAGCCAGAGAAACACGACAACAAAACTGTCCTGTTTTAAAAACGGCAAAAAAGAACATTTTATTTTTCTATATTAGTTGCTCGGGTCCCCGACTCTGGAATAAATTTCAAAAAAACAACCTAATCTACAATGTAATATCTTTGTACAAATTTAAAAAGCTCTTGAAATACCTCATAAAAGAATCTAATATGTTCTAACATTTTTTATATATCATTAGCACTTTATTTATATATTAAAATGCTAAATTATTAGAATTTTGTTTTTACAGTTTCACTGTACTCTTTCTGTTTAAAATTACTTATATTTAAACTAACTCTTTTGAAAGGGGGTCGGACTCGATAAATTTTGCGTTTTATCTCAATCATCTTAACAATTTTTTCTATTTATTTGAAATTGTTTTTATACAAAAGCTGAGTTCTTTTAATAAATATACTGCTCACAACTGGGTGATGGTCTCTCCGGCCTTACCCCAAGATCTGCCACTGAATGTATATGTATAATACATCAACATTCAGTGGCGAATCTTGTACATTCAGTACTGTATTTTAATAGCGCTCTAAAATTTCCCTGATTGTTATCAGATTTGAGATCTAATGCATCGTCATCCCGGTGTCCACGCAAAGCAAAAAGCAAAACTTTAACAAAGTTTAATAGTTTCAATAATAGTGTTAAGAAATTTTCTATTTTGCTTTATTTTTGTGGAAAGAGCGGAGTTTGATAACTCTAAAACATTAGTTTAATTTTTAATCAAACTCAGAAACATTTCTGACTTTTCTGTAGCCTCTCTATGAAAAAATGTCGCTTGATGACGCGACATTGATCTAAAGCTGATTTATAACGATTTAAATGTGATATAACAAATACTCCGACTGAGTCGCATGATGGATGTCGATTTGCATAAAGTACACAAAACCTACAGAATGCTCCTTTTTTCAAATCAGAATAAGACAGCCAGGAAAATATGGAATTTAAAAAACCATATTCTTTTACCTTCCAACACAAATGGAAATTTATAATTCTTGCCAGGTTTGCAGAGATTTTTCAAAAGATCATAATCATTCAAAATGCTTGGGATTTCTGCAGTTGCATATTGTCCAATATATGAAAAACTCTGACATGAATTACCAGTTTTGTCTGAACCATCAGTCATGTCATCGTTTAAATTTAATGAAAAGCCTTCTTCCAAGACATCAGATTCTATAATTGTAAAAAAAACGTTGAGATTGAATTTTTTAATTTTACTACCAGACCTGAATAGTTAAATACTACAAAATTATTTTAAGTCTAGTCGGGTAATGACTGGTACGCATTAACCCTAATCCAAAAAAAAATGTTTTTATTACTCAGCTTATTGCTAATTTTTTTAGTTGAAAAAACAAAATTATTTCATGTGCAATTATTGAAATATCTAGGTTTTACCGTCAACTGCCTCAACTGTATTGAGATCATCGCACTGCTTCTGTTTTTTTGCCGGAGTCGGTTGAAAAAAGTTTAAAATACTACTTTTTTAAAAGGCATTTTTTTTTAATTTTAAAACGAATTCAAATGCAAACTGATTTTATGAAACACAAAAAAATAATATAAGACGCGCCAAATCGTAAATGGAATAAAATGTGAACTACGAACAAAACATAAAATTATGAAAAGTCTAAATAAGTAAAGACTATAATATTTTTTGATTTACTTTTTGTTGATATAGGTTTCCAATAAAATTTTTTTTTCTATTATTTAACGCCGTCTTAAATTGAATTGATGATAACGGGGGGGCCATGGCCCCCCCCCCCCTAAATCCGCCACTGAATGATTCAGATGAAAAAGTTGACAATGAAACCGACATTATGTTAAAAATAGATTATATCCAAAAATGGAACCATTATAGTTATATAAAACCACTGAAAATCCATCTCAGTTATTTGGATGTCGTAATCTGATGATGTTATACAAAATATTTACTACTCTTGCAGTGTCCAATGCATCTGCAGAACGAGCTTTCAGTAAGCTTAAAATTGTAAAAACCGGCTTCGATCTACAACGGCAGAAGATTTTTATCAGCGCTAATGATAATTACGACAGAAATAGATTTACATCATACGTTTTCTGATGAGGAGATAATTTTACATATTGATGCAGCGAAAAAATTATGATGGTCGTTTAGTTCTTTTAATAATTTTTTTTTCCGTTTGGTCCTTTTAATAATTTTTTTTTACATTTTTTGCTTTTTTTAAAAATGGTTTATTTGGGTTATTACCAATTAAATTTTTATAATTCCTATATATACATATTGTATGTTGTTTGCATTCATCACAATCAAAGCATTTTGAAGTTAGTACACCGAAGGGGGTTGTTGGCCTCCTACATCACCCCTGGTCTAGAGGAGCCATACAAACTAATATTAAGCTTTCGGCCTTCTGGCTGTGCCTAAATAATATTAAAAACGATTTCTAATAATTTTTAATAAATATTTTTACCAAAAAATTATTTACCAGGTATCAACAACAACAACTTGACCACTCTAGAACCACCAGATACGTCACCATCGGTAGACAATAACAAAATAACTACGAACACAACTGCAACAACCGTAACAACCACAGCTAAAACAATCGGAACAAATACAAATTGGACATTATCATTGGCTTTTCAAAATGGATCCAATTTCCCTTGGACAGGTATCTGTGAGTTAAATTTGGTATTGAATTTATATACAACCCAATGCACATGCTTCTTGTTTGCAATTTGTCGTTTTTGTTTTAGAATAAATAGCAGAGAAGTCAAAACAAGTCATGCTGCTAATGCGAGATGACCTAATTTTCAGAACTATATACCTGGTGGTTTTTGTATCTGTATGTCATGTAGTTCAACCTGCCCAAATTTGTTGAGTGAAATCGTTTCATCGCAACAAAG